GGCCTGTATTTCTGCTGTCATGTGGAAATGACAGGTAGTTTTATTTACACACACACACACACACACACACACACATACAATTCTAAGAAAGAGCAAGTATTCTTTGTAATTAGGATTTCTGGACTTTTTTAAGGTATAGATTTAGAATCCAGTATTTTTGTTAAAGTCTTTGGAACTGTTTTATTCTGTTTCTAGATCTTTTAGCTGTGCCTAAGCATCCGTATGCTGCTATGGAGAACTGGGGACTAAGTATTTTTGTGGAACAAAGAATACTGCTGGATCCCAGTGTTTCATCTATTTCTTATTTGCTGGATGTCACCATGGTCATTGTTCATGAGATATGTCACCAGGTATGAGAAAAAGGATCAGGTGTAAGTATAATGTGCAAACTATTGAGAACATAGAATGATTTCAGATATCTAGATTAGGAGCTAAATGATCATCCTCTCAATTAAATTTTAATTTCCTATGGAACACAGTGTAGTTTAATTTCATACGGAGCACGGTGTAGTTCTTTCTGGAAGATATGCCATTTTTCTCAAGTGATAGCCCAAACAGAAACAAACACACTGATCATATTGAGGAAGCAACTGTCATTCAGGTTAGTAGAGGAGCACAACGACACCGCTGTCCGGCGGCCTCTCTGAAAGCCCTCGCTAGTCACTGCTCCTTACCAACCTTGCTCTATTTTCTGGTGATTATTAGTGTGTATGTATGGTAAGTACAGCGAGGGCAATGATTTATTGCATTGCTGCAAGATGCAGCTGAGTTTTGTGTACGTGTCAAAATTCACTCTTGCTGAAATCAATTTGTTATTCCCCTTTTCCCATCACAGACACTTAGGAAGTCTTTCACTAACTTGGCCAGAGACTCTTGGTTCTCAAATGATTGATATTTTATGTCATGGCATGTTTAGAAATTCATATGTAAATGAGCCAACTTTGTAGGGAAGTTAAGATAAAATTAATTTCATTTTGATTTCATGCACTTTCTTACAATGGGTCGAAGGTATTAGAAAGATTTTTACAATGCTTATCTGAATTTTGATGTTAGTGAGAAGAAAACCATCAAAAATAGATACTCATGCTAATAGCAAGCAGTATCTGTCCTACTTACCAGTAACTATTGGTAATTTTTAATTTAAATACCCCAAATCTTGTTGTGATGCTGTATAACTTCAATATATTATACACCTAAAATATTAAAGCTAGAAAAGCTGAAGAAAGAGCAATGTTAAAATGCTATCAATGAGGGACCAGCAATTGGCGTAATGGCTATGTCGCTGGACTCCTATGTAGTTGACCACGGTTTGAGTCCTGGACCTGGTGGCTTAAACTCCTGCCGGTGCATGCCAAGATCCTGAGAGAAGAACGGAGGAGAAGAGATTGCGGTGTGGTCACCTCCCCGGGGAATGATTTCTTGCTTTCTGTCTCTCTGACTCTCTCTGTCTTTCTGGTGAGTTCACACACCCTATAGCAAAAAATTTTTTTTGGTGATTTCACACCCCCTATAGAAAAAAAAAAAAAAAAAAAAAAAAAAAAAATGCTATCAATGAAAGAAGATGAACTGTTAAATGCTCATAAGTGGATACTGACCTCATAATAAATTTGCACAGGCTGTATGCCCACTTAATTCTTGCTGTGAGCCTGTATGATTTCATTATGGCCAGGTTGGGCGCATGTTGTTTGCCTCAGAAATTTAATGGGATCCACTGCAGAGATAACTGGGGCTCCACTTCAGTGCTTAAAAAAAAAAAAAGAAAAAAGAAAAAAGCTTTCCACCTACAAATACAACTTCAAGGAGTTTCCTTCTTCATAGGAACATTTCCTAAAAATGACAAATTAGATGTAGAGTTCTGTTGAAATGAAAGTACACTAAAAATATTGTAATTATTCAGAGAACTGGATTTTATTTGTGACATACTCTACATTGCTTTCTTATTATAGATTCGTAGTGGTAGGCCACTTACTATGAAGAGAATGAAACACAGTCATTTCTGCTATCTTTGCCAAATTAATTTCTTTTTTCTTTTGTATTTTTGGTTTGCCAGAGGGTGTGTGCTTGCCAGAGACAGACAGAGGAAGAGGGAACCCCTACTGGGGCATAGTCACACTGCAGTCTCTCCTCTTCCATTTCTTTATCTCCATCTCCAAGGTTGTGGGCACACCTCCACACATGTCAGGCATGTTTTTCAAGCGCCAAGGGCCAGGATTTGAGCCATGTGATCAGCCATGTGGGATCTAACTCTCTTATCCACTAGGCCACGGTGTCTGCCCATCAAGTTAATGTCTGTGTTACCCTCCCACTCCACCATTCATTGTCACATTCTGAAGACAGATTTTTAGTTTAAAGGAGAAACGTATTTTTGAAAAAGAATTATAAATCAAAGATTTATTGTGTGGTTATCGAGTTATTCAGAGCTATCTTTTATAGTGTTTGAGTTAGAGGTCCTCTTGAGGAAATGATACTTTATTGTGAATATGGAAGCAGTCGCCAAGGTCTTTGCTGTGGTTCCTACACTGTCTGCGATCTGACATGTCTGCCTTTTGGAACTTTCTCATGCTTCCCTTCTCCTGGTCTACTATGCTTTGGCCATGCAGGGCTTCCTGTCATTGCTTAAACAGCTTATTCCTGTGTAGGACCTTCATACTAAGGGTTACTTTTATTGGCCTGGAATCCTCTGTTCTAAGGTGTTCTCATGGCAAAACCTTTTTACTAAAGTCTGAGCTCAAATGTCACCTGCTTAAAGAGAATCTGGAGCAGCTTCTCCCCATTCTTGTAGCATTTTATTATTATCTGAAATTGTGTTGTTCACTTGTTTGCTTATTTTTTTATAGTTCACCTCACATCATCACCCGTGCTTCTACAATAAAATGTATGAGAAGGGACATTAACTAATGTTTCCTTATTAATCCAAAGTCTTTATGATAGTCCCTGGCATATAATGTATTTTTTTAATGGAAAAAGAATTTCTTTAACATCTTCCTAAACTAAGCAAAGGTTTCACAGTAATACATCATGCTCTAATAAAATGCTTATTAAAAATTACCACTTTTTTTAAAGAGCAAATTTTGGAGAGTTTCCCCCCCCCCAACTCCTCATTATCATAGAATCATGGAGAGTTGGGTGTAGAGGATCTTAAAAACTCTTAGTTATTTCATTAAATAAATGTCTTCCCTTAATTGCCTCTACCACAGGAGGGTGATATTCTTCATTATCTCCTCTGATGAGTCACTCTACCTCAAGGTAATATTTCCATCTTCAGTAATCTCAGTCTGTTACTGAGTTTTCTGCATTTTCCTCAGATATTCATCTATCCTGATTATCATCGATTAATCCAGTTCATCCCTGAAGGGCCACAAGAAACAAGCCTTTTCCTCTTCTACATAACATACCTCCAAATACTTGAACAATTGTCCTTAGTTTTTTCTTTTTTAATATTTTTCCTCCTGAATTTATCCTTCTCCCAGTTAAAGATTTTTTTTTTGTATGTGTGCTCTTTGATCATCTTTCTTTGTTCTTCCCCAAATGCATATATAAAAAACTAATATCACCCAAGTAGTCAAATAAATCCAAACAATCTTGGAACAACACATTTTAAGATCACAAAATCAGTTGGGGAATGAATTCCAGATATAATTATCATAGGCTAATGCATTTAATCCTAGATAAAATAGTTCTGGGATGGATCTGACTTTATCTGATGCTCATTCATTTTTTACTACAGTGGTTTGGTGACCTTGTGACTCCTGTGTGGTGGGAAGATGTGTGGCTGAAGGAAGGTTTTGCTCACTACTTTGAATTTGTTGGTACGGACTACCTCTACCCTGGCTGGAATATGGTAAATGCACCTTTCTTTAATCATTGGGAACTCCCAGTAAAAAGTTGATATGACATTATCTTAGTCTTGTATTATGCTTATGGGTGACTGAAAATACCATCTCATGAATGAAAACAAAATCACCTGTTCCACAAAGAAAAAGTAATCATATATTTAGATGCTAGTGTCTAAAAGAGTTATCTTACTGGGAACTAAATAGAGCCTGACCAGTTATATATTGATTTCAAAATGTTTTAAATGATCTAAATGGAAATATATTATAGTATTTTTATAACTAAGACACATTATTTGTTAAATTAGAAAGGTCTATAGTAATTAAGAAGTAACATTTTAAGTATACAGGATATCTCAATATTGTAAAAAAAAATGAGGATGTCTTATTCATGAGGTGAAACACAAAAATTAGATAAAATATTTGAAGTATTGTTGTTGTAGCTATATGTATTTTAGGATTAAGTGACCAAAGAAGAGGTTATTAACTTTATTTATAAAGAGTTACACACATTATACCTATACTTATACCTGTACATTTGAACCTCTGTAGGACTGGTAGTACATTTAACTGTGATGTTGTGGGGCATCACAGAGGAAAAGCAGAGGGAGGGTATGATTTTATATGTGTTTTTGCATCAATTTTTCATTTTATATCATCTTTCATTAATGAATAAGTGACTATGCTATTATTAAATAGAACCCAGGGTATATGCTGTTTTGAAATTAAAATTTTGAATTGATTTTAAATGGTACTATTAAATTAAGTAAAATTACAATATCCCAACATTAATCAACTTCCAGAAATGCAAACATGTGATATAGCATAGGAGATTATATACATTTTTTGTTTGTTTTTTTGAGAGAGATTTTTGCCATAAGGTGTGTGTGCTTGCCAGAGAGACAGGGAGAGGCAGAGAGATAGAAAGTGAGAAATCACATGCCACTCCCCCCCACCCCCCACCTTGGGGGATGGCTACACTGCAATCACTGTTCCTCCATTCTCTTGGGATATTGGGCACAGACGCACGCTTGTCAGGCGTGAGTTTTAAGCCATCAGGACTGGGACTTGAACTGCAGTCAACTCATGGGAGTCCAGTGACATAACCTTTAGGCCATCTGCTAGTCCCAATTTTTTAAAGCCACTTTATCAAGGTATGATTGACATAAAAAGTTGTATGTATTTAATATATATCATTTTACATGTTCAGAGATAAGTATATATCCATTCCCACAATCTATGCATAAGCATGTCCTTCACTTCTAAAAGTCTTTTTGTACTCTCATTATTATATTTTAGAGGTTTTTGCCTTAGGGAGCATATGCTTTCTAGAGCGAAAGAGAAGGACAGTGAGTGGTAAAGTGAGAAGTCATCCCTCAGGGGGGTGGCCACACTGCAGTCTCTTCTCCTGCATTCTCATCCTGGGATTTCAGGCAGCACACATGCACACGCCCCTTGTGTGATTGTCAAGCACCGGGTCAGGGACTCAAACCGTGGTGGGCCATGTGGGAGTCCAGCGACACAACCACTATGCCATCTGCTGGCCTCTCTTACTACTATTTTAAGGATATAACACCCCAACATTGACTTTAGGCACTATGTTGCATAGTATATCTTGATTTCTTTATCTTGCATGATTGAAGTGTTGTAACCTTTGTTTAATATCTCCTTAGACCCTTCTTCCCCTAGAGTTGAGAAATCACCATTTTACTCTCTACTTCCATACATTTATTTCATGTTCCTCATTTAAGTAGGATTATGTAGTATTTGTACTCTATGTCTGACTTTATTTCACCTAACATAATGTCCTCCAGATTTACCCATGTTATCACAAGTGGCAGTATGTACCACATTATCACATTTTTTAAAATCTAGTTATCCTCCAAGAGATGGTTTGCTTCCATATATTTTTACATTGCATTCTGTTGATGTTTTCAATAATGAGTAAGGAGTGATAGACTATAGTCATTCCAAACTGCTTTGAAAGCATGTAAACCAAGATGAAGTGAAGGCATCTGAGTCATAGTATAGCTTGTCTGCCAAAAATTCCCAAGTCTTGCTGAAGTAAAAAAAAAAAAAAAAAAGTGAACTTCTTTTACAGAAAAAATGTTACAGTGATAATTGTATTCATATATTTTAATCATGTTTATGTGTTGGGTCATCAGAAATATCATAGCGTATTTTACTTTTTCTTTTTCTTTTTTTTTGAGAGGCTTTTGCTATGGGGCGTGTACGCTCTCCAGACAGACAGAGAGAGACAGAGAGACAGAATGTGAGAAATCACCCCCCCAGGGGAGATTGCCACGCCTCAATCCCTTTTCCTCCATTCTCCTCTCTGGATCCTGGGCACGCACGCACATGCCCCTGGCGTGAGTTTAAGCCACCGGGTCCGGCACTCAAACCATGGTTGACTACGTGGGAGTCCGGCGACATAGCCATTACACTAACTGCTGGTCTCTCATAGTGTATTTTTCTATGCAAAAATACATCAAGGCTTTTCTGAGCACCCAATAGTTTTAACCATATTTTAAAAAAGCAAAATAGTTCGTTTGCAAAAATATGAGAGAAGCTTATTAGGTTTGTATATCTAGGTATGTATATTAGTATGATGCAATTTTTAAAATCTTACTTGAAGTGTTTTATTATGACATTAAATTAATTGAAACTGCTTTTAAAGCATTTTTAAGAAAAATAACCAATACTGAACCATAATATTTGCATTATTCTTCAACAAATATGAATAGTTTAAATTGAAATGTTTAAGGTTATTGAAACTTTTCTCAAAGTGTCTTTTGCCTTTTAGATGACCTTCAACCCACTTTGTTTGAAATCTTTACTTAATTTTGATTATGCCATGGATTATTACTGATTTATAATTTTATTATGTTTCAATATTAAAATATGTTCTTATTACAAATGACATATTATGCATTATAGGTAAGCCTTTTTTCAGTTCATTCAGTTACTTGTGATAAAAGCCTTTCTATTCATCATTATGAAAAATACATCTTAGATTAAAAAGTAATCAACAGAATTATACATGGGGTGAAAACTGACAGCTTTTGATGGCTTTCACATGGCAATATAGCCTCAGTTTCAAAGTCCTTATGTTGAATTTTGTCTTTGAGTAATTACATTTCTTCATCATTTCATCAGTCAAGTTATAAGTGTAAGTTTTCTGGAGATGATTTTATAAGAGGTATTGCAAATGAACATAGAGTATAAATAACACATCGGAGACACTGTCACTTAGAATACAGACCATGTACTGCAAATGTAAAACAACCTTTGAGTGACTAAGATATAAACTTATTTATCAGAGGTCCTGAATTAATAATTAAATATTATCAATTAATGGTGTTACAATTACAGCAATCCAAAAGGCTCACGCTCTCTCTCAAACTATGAAATAAAAGAATATTCTCTATCATGACTAGTTAGATAACTAATACTGAGGAAAAACAGGTCTTATTCTGCTCTTTTTGTATTAAAATTTAAACAATTACAAATACTTTCTGATCTTTGATAGCTTTTGCATTTTAGGTTTTCTTTAGTTTGCGGGATGCCCCCCCCCCCATATATTAAATTCACAAAATCTGTAAGAAGAAACTCTGAAAACAAATTGCCCCTTCATATCGTCTTTCCAAATATTAAGAAAAGTTAGCCACATAAAGAAGAGAGACTATTAAGTGACTTAACAGCTGGGCCAGCACTATTTTTCGTAATGGCATCAGCAAAAGTATGAAAGAAATACTCAAAAAACATGAGTGATGACTGTGTCAGCAGTAACTCACACTGCCTATATGCACGGGAGCTTGCCTAGGAGTACGTGGTTTGTGCTTCACCAGACCTCAGCCTAAAATAGAAAAGCCAAAAGTCAGGCTCCTGTAAGGAGTAAAGTAATTCAGGAAGTTGACCTTTTTTTGCCTCTAATCTCAAAAACAGTGCTTTTATCATTTTCAGACACTAGGACTCAGGCACTAAAATACAATTTCAAGTGGCTAGGAAGATTACTCTGACAATCTACCTTCTATGGAGTAACAATAAAGAAATCCAGAATTACATAGTATTGTTAAGGAAGAGCTTGTTCTGGTTTAGAACAATAGACTTGCTTTGGTTAACTGCTGGTAAAATCTGGGCTGTGTGTATGCATCTGTGTGTATGTTCCCAGAGCCAGTTTCTGATATGAAGGAATCAGTTGTTACATTAGAAATATTACATGGAATAAATATAGAAAAATTTCCTCCCAACAAACTAAGCAAGTTTACAATTTCACAGGTAGTATGATATAATATGTATTGGGGGAACGGATTGGAAGTAAGAAATTGAAATTCCAAGAAAGGCATCTCTCCTTTCTCACTCATCCTTATCTCCTGGAAATAGGGCAGTTGTACTGACTTAGGAAGCTTACATGACATGTGAGGTCTTTGAAATGTATGAACCACTATACAAATGTGAGCAGGCATCCAGGATCTGGCAAAATGAATGCTCCATTAGAAAAGTGCATTGATTTTGTGAATAGATGCTCTAACATATTCAACCTCCGTAATCTATTTTGACACCCTAGATTTATTTCTATTATATAGAGATTACAAAATAATTCTATAAACTCTGTGTGCAGATTGAGTCTTACCAAATCAGTTCTTATCTATACTGGTAACATAGACTATTCTATAGGAATATAAACCTTAGGTGATACTGTATTCAGCAAATGGAAGGGTCCAAACCACTAATTAGAAGAAACTTCCTCAGCTCAGGACTAAGCACCCATTTCACCGGACAAGTTGTCTTTTTGTTTGATGTTACTTTATCAGAGTTGACTGTTTGTGACATTACTGGATAGATCAAGCTACAGCATGCTACCAATGGCAGACATGTTTATTTTATTGTGTTTCCTCAAGAGAAATAGAAGACAGACTAACACAGCATAGCCGCTATTCTTCAGCTTATGAGCATTTTCATTTGAAAAATGTCCATGATAAAAATAACTTTAATACTGGAAAAGGAA